AATCAAGATAAATGGTTACGACCAAATCATACATCAAGATATTATGATATCAATGATTTCAATCAAGGTAAATGGTTACGACCAAAGAATAAATCAAGATATTACGATATCAATGATTTCAATCAAGGTAAATGGTTACGACCAAAGAAAGTATCAAGATATTACAATATCAATGATTTCACTCAAGATAAATGGTTACGACCAAAGAAAGTATCAAGATATTACAATATCAATGATTTCAATCAAGATAAATGGTTACGCTCAAAGCATACATCAAGATATTATGATATCAATGATTTCAATCAAGGTAAATGGTTACGACCAAAGAATACATCAAGATATTACGATATCAATGATTTCAATCAAGGTAAATGGTTATGACCAAAGAAAGTATCAAGATATTACAATATCAATGATTTCACTCAAGATAAATGGTTACGACCAAAGAAAGTATCAAGATATTACAATATCAATGATTTCAATCAAGGTAAATGGTTGTGACCAAAGAAAGTATCAAGATATTATGATATCAAGCATAATCGAATAATGTCACAACAATGTAAGGGAGAAGTTCAAAACTTCAATGGGGGAAAACTTTCAAGTTTTAAGAAAAGATCACACACAAATGCTTACAAGCAAGGAGCTTAAGTCAAACTCAAGTACACAAGGATGCTAACAAGCCAAAATCATAACTCAAAAGAGAATGAAATTAAAGTTGGAAATGAGAGAGGAAAGGTAAGAGGGTGAAAACCCTAAAACGAAACGCCATTTTCTCATGATGTGAAGTGTTCATTTATACAAAAATTTGGCAAAAAGAATCATTTAAAAATGATTACAAATGAAGAAGTTAAGGTGATTTGAAAATTTAATGAAAATTAAATCAAATAAACAAGTTGCCAAAAATAAAGAAATGTCTCTCCTAAGGCTTGAACCCAAGGCCTTGGGGTCATGGACACAAAACTAGACCATCCCAACCACTCTCACGAATATGGATCATTGTGGAAAATGAAGTGGAAAAAGTAAAATGGTGCAAAATCATGAAAAAGTGCAAAAGTGCCCTCGCTGAGGGTCGAGCTCGCGTGCTTGGGTATGGCAAGATACTTATGGGATGGCGATACATCCATTGTATCAAGCCACCCCATATGCAAATATACTAACAAGCATAATTTCTGGGCAAGCCCTTAAGGCAAAAACCAAAGCAAAATCTCAAAAACGATTTGATCACAACTTTGTCAAAACTCAATCAATTTCAGTGAAGTTTAAGTCTAACCTGCTTGAAATTTGACAAGGAATGTAACAGTAACCACCATTTTTCAAAATGAAACACACACATTGAAATCTGAATGAACATGCGTAATGAGGTTTTAAAATTCATTTTGGAAAATGATGACCAAAACTGATGAGTTTAAGTCCCAACAAAGGTCTGCACATGCTTTAAATGTATTGCTTATGATTATGTTCAAAGAGATGAGCTCATTTTCTCAATGAGTTAAAATGTGATTGTCAAGTTGTAAGTTATGGAAGTGGTGTTTGTCAAAACAACCTAATCTAACCAATGTGAAAAACAAACATTCAAGACAGTATATGCTTATCAATCCAAACTTCCATCTCAATGGACCCTATACATACACAGATTTTAGGAGTTTTCAAATCAAATTGATGGCATAAAGGTGACCAATCCTCAAAAATAGCAACTAACAGTACGCTAGCAATGTGCATAACAGTGCTTTTATAAAAACAACAACATACAGATATTGCTTTAAAACTGGATCCTAGAAACAAACTTGATCTTTTCAACACAGGAAACATAATTCAAAGTAGCTTTGTTTGAAAACAGAAGCAGCAACATAGTTTGATATTACAATGTCAAAACACTAGTTCAAAACAAAATGCCTCCATGACAGCTACTAATGCAAGCACACATACATAACTCCAACAGTAAACTCAACATGATTAGAAGCTTTTCAACACAAATACATAGTTCAAAATGGTTTGGTTTGAAAACAGAAACAGCAATACAGTTTGGCATCACATTACCTTCATGACAGTCACTACTTTTAAAGGCATTTTTAGTTATGAGCAAAAGGTTTTTAAACAACAACGATCATGAGCTCCACATAACAAAGTCAAATCTTAATGTACCATATATTTCAAAGTAATGAAAATGGCACTAGTTGAGCAAACTTAAACTAAAACAGTTCCAACCGCCTAATTATGAGTTAAAGAACATGACAATGTTCAAATCATCCAACCACTAGTCTATTACCTACTTCCATGACAGTTGCTGAAATCACAACCAAGTTTTTTAGTCTGAGGAGCAAATTTTGACAACAAGCATGAGTTGACAAACTCAATCTTCAAAAAAAGTTTTGGTAGCATAATGTCCAACTCACTCAAAACCTACATGATGGAGCAGAAAGTAATAACAATGAAACCTAAATATCAAAGACTCCTAATGTGAAAATGTCCAACAACAATGCTTAACCAAACAGATCAAGTGATAGTTCATAGTGCAAACCACATAAGCTAGACAGATCTAAATTCAAACTTCACCAATGATACATCTCAAACATAACAATGTTAAAGCCCCTAACCTAAAGCTTCTCTTGTTGACAGTTTTAAAACAGTTTAGATACTAAATGGACACACACCTGGCATAACAATGTCAATAACATAAACCTCCATTTAATCAAACACATTACTTTTAAAAAAGTAATAACATGTATACCACTGACAACAAAATGCACATTTTTTACAGATCCAACTTCTAACTAGGTTTGGACAGCATAGGCACCATTTATCATAACAATGTTTAATCAATCTCACAAGCCACAAAACATAACATATGATGCATAATGAAGAGGCTTAGGGCTACATACCTCTTGTAGATCTCCTTGAGCAAGCTAACAGCAAAGAAAACCAGAGATCCTTCCTTTTGAACAAGTTTGTGAAGCTTACTTCCTTTTGAAGAAACAAGCAAATCTTGAGGACAGTTTGAGCAGATGAGGTTCCATCTGTTGTTAGAGGTTTTAGACAATTGGTATAACTCAAATGGAAGGTGTTCAAAGTGTCAAAGTGGTTCAAACTGTTTTAGGCAGTGAGTTTTATCACTTTGTGCAGAAAAGTCAAACTAATGGGTGTGAGAAGTTGACTTTTGGTTTGGTGGTGCTTTTGATCAAAATAATGGTTAGAACACATCCTAATGATGATTTGGGAGTTGTGTGGATGATTTTAAGGTGGTTGAATGGCTAAAAGTGATGCTGGTATGAAACTTGCAACAAGGCATTTTTTGGTGTTTTGGAACTTTCTTCACTTACAAGTAAAGTAAGGCAAGAGTGAGAGAGCTTGATTTTCTCTTAGGTTTAGAGTGCTCTGGTGTGATAAATAACATAGAGGAATCCTCTATTTATAGGAAAAGTGAGAGGTTAGGACATATTTGTTCAAGTGGTTTTAGTGAAAAGATCTCATGAACCTAGGTGATGGTTTGGTTCTGCAAATTCTTGCTTGCTTTCAAAGAGCTTAGCCCCCCTAGAACAAGCTAAAAATGAGTTGTAAGAAGTAACCAAAGAGTGTAGAAGGACACCCTCCTATGCTGCAACCCCCAAACACTCTCTCTCATATGTACCTTTTGTACTTTTCTTTAATAAACAAATGAATCTTGGATGATTCTTTGGATTTGCTTGATTTCTCTTATGACTTAGTTCATTTCACCCTCTAACACATCATATCAAGGTTTTTTTCTTAAGGTTTTCTCGATATTTTCCTTTCCCCTCATGAGATAAATAAAGTTCGGTGGCGACTCTTCTGTCTTTCTTTTCGCCTCTCATTCATTGTATTTTTCAAATAGCGACAACTACTACAAATTTCATTAGTCATTCACTTAGAGTTTTTTCTAAATAATAAAGTGTGAAATATATTATAAATGTAAATAAATGTAGGAAATACGAAATATACTTAAAAATGTGAAATATATTAAAAATGAAAATAAATACATTAATAAAATTAAAAAACACTAAATGATAAGGCATGTCAGATTTCTAAAAAACAACAGCTACGTAGGAAGTAGTTAACGTGTTTTTTATAGAAAAATTATGGAATAAGCTACTTATATTAACTTACGTTTTTAATTCTAAATAAAACAATAAATTAAACTAAAGAATCTTAATTAAGCCAAACAAAAAAATCACTTGGAAGTACGAACCGTCTAGGCTGCGGTGTAGCCCACTCATCTCTTTCCAGCACAAGAACACACATTTTTCCTTTTCAAGATAAGGTGAATCCAACAAAAAAGTGGAGCGAAATTTCGGTCTTCACACCAAACAAAGCCTTTGTTGTGGTTATGGCAACTATGAACTTTAAAAGTGCTTGTGCAAGAACTGCTCATGATGTTCTTTCTTCTTTCAGCTCAAAATGGTATTCTTCTCTAGCTAGGAACAATAATCCACACGTTGGCTTATTTCTCTGTTCTTTCAAAATCAGGGTTTGTCACCCCATCAATAACAATATCAAGGACATCTACAAACAAGTAGGTTTGTTCCAAACTGCTATCTTTTTTTTTAAGAGCAAGTACTTCTGGTTTTGCTTTTTGTTTTCACTTATTTTTATAACCCAACTTTGTTATGTTCATTTTGGTTCAACCCAAATACTAATAGTAGGAGTGAATAGTGTTTTTCTTTTGGATACCTATTTAGCATATACACCTCTTAAAATAAACGTCTCAGTATCGGTGACATTGCACCTGACATTTGTTATTACTTTAATATATTTACTTTTTCAAATTATTACTGATGCCGCCGCATCGGGGTCATATTTGGTTCAGGGGGTCCGTGCTTCAATACAGCTTTATCTCACTTATTAATTCCTTCAATAATTATATAATTAAAATATGATCAGGTTTATTTTAACTTGGAAGGAAAATTGAAGACACAGTTATTCGTGCTGAGTTGTATGCATCAACAACTTTGGAAATGGAAGAAGCTAGTTAGATTAAGAAGGAAAAAATGATGCGTGATTCGGATATGTGGGATGACCCAACTAAGTCCAATGACATTCTTGTCAAGTTAGCTAACAGTGCCAAAGTCATTGATTCTCTAAAGGACTTGAGATACAAGGTTATTTTCTATTCTCATATCTTTCAACTAAACTATCGCAATTTTTATTTGAAAAGAATGTAATCATTTGTTGTATATCAAGTAGGTAGAGGAAGCACAGCTCATAAAGCAGTTGACTGAGATGAATGCTATTGATTATGGGCTGTATAAACAAGCATATGACGCTTCTGTAGACGTGGGCAACATTCTGGATCACTATGAGATATCCAAGCTTCTTAAGGGTCCATTTGATATGGCAGGAGCATGTTTGGTAATAAAAGCTGGACCTGCCGGCATCTTTCCAAAGGTTTCATACATACATAGTCTTTGAACTTAATTACAACTAGGTTTGATATGTAACTTGTGAATTGTGTTGGTGGTGTATTCATGTTATTAATTATTACACTCTATGAAAACTCAACCTTTGATAATGATGCATTCTACAATTGATTTTGAACATAACAATTGTCATGAGCCACAACATCTTTTATATTTCTTTTTAGACTTTGTAAAACTTGATTGTTCTCAATCTATATATGTAATTTATTCTGTTGTGTTTGACCTACTTCTGTATGAATCAAGCTCTGGCCAGAACAACTCCTACAAATGTATCTTGGATGGGCCAAAAGACAAGGCCGTGAAGGAAGGACTGTTGACAGATGTCAGATCGAGAATGAAGGAATTGATTCAGCAACTATAGAGTTTGAATTTGAATATGCTTATGGCTATCTTTTAGGGGAAAAAGGAGTTCACCATTTGATAAAGGGTTCTCCAAATGAATCTTCTCATCTTGAGGTGCAAACAATTCCTTTCATACTACCTATTAGTAGAACTGATTTTCCTTTCTAGTTGAATAATGTTTTCTTTTCGTATTGAATTTGATTTTTTGGAAAACTGATATTGTGAAGAAAAATGTTTATCATTTTGTGTTAAATGTTTGAAAGCATTTTTATAAATTTTAGTATGGAAATATGGTGAAATAATTTTGCCTGCTTAATTCAAAATTTGCAGACTAGCTCAGCAACTGTCGATGTTATTCTGTTGTTCCTAGAGAATGCTTGTGATTTTGAGATTGATTCAGTGGATTTGATTATCTCATCTCCCTCGACTCATGGAAAACGGAAAAAACAAATTGAGTGTACCGTTTGCATTCAGCATGTACCTACTGGGATATGCGTCCAATCCTCTGGTATGAGTATTCTAGTTTATTGAGCATGTATCAGAATTTGCAAATGAAATAGAGGATTTTACTGAATTACATTTTCTGTGAAGGTGAGAGAAGCCAGTTTGCAAATAAGATGAAAGCACTAAACAGATTGAAAGCTAAGCTTGAAGTGATAGCAATTGAACAAGGAGTTGATAGTATAAATAGTATAGTGAAGGATAAAATTTTGAATCTGTGGAAAGAAGAAACTCGGAGGTATGTATCGCATCCGTACAAGTTAGTACATGATGTAAAGACTGACATTGAGATGATAGACTTAAATACTGTTTTGGATGGGAATATCGGACCTTTTGTTGCAGCTCATATTAATACCAGAGAGTAATAATGTCATCATTTTTGAACTGATATTGATTTACATAAATTGTGTTTATCTATCTGCCAATTATTTAGGATGATATATATATAAAGTTTATAAAGTCTGACTTCATTGAGATAGTTACTTCTTTACAATATTATTTTCTAAAACAGATTTGTAATATTTTAAAGTTTTACTTATTATTTCTTTTGTAACCTTGACTCTTGTTTTCTCTGTTTGTTTAGCACACTGTAATTGCTTCTTAGAAAACAAATTATAAGGGGGAGAGAGGATTTGTAAGTTTAACTGAGTTATAATCTATCACTTTTAGAATTTGTTTTGTAAAGTTGTGACATTGTCTCAATTGTCTCAATAGCCATGTCTCAGATCATTAGAGCTATAAGGGGTATAGGAAGTAGTAGTCCTCGTAGTATTACATCTATAAGTAATAACGATAAAATAGATTTAGATCAAGATACTTTTCAGAGTCAAGAATTAGAAACTCAAGAATTAGAAAACAGATTAATTAACTGGTCTATGTCAGAAATTAGGCTAAAAGAAATTTATAAAATTTGTACGTTCGATTATAATGTTAAAAAGATTATTCACACCGTTGAGTCGGTTAGAAAATTATTAGTAAATCATCATAAAAAGGGATTTAAATACATTCATTTGGGATTAATTCAAATTGCTATTAAACCTCTGCATAAATTAGGGTTGAATACGCCCATACTACTGGTTCTACAGGATACCTATATTAAAGACTTTCGTAACTCAACTATTGCCATAGTTGATTTTAATCTTAATGATGGCCCAGTTTATTTTAATTTCCATCCAAATTACTCTATGAGTCTATCTGATGAGTCTACTAAGAATTTGTTAATTGTTTATGTGCAAGGCTTAGAGGACACCTTTAATCCTGGAGTCTCTAACATATATGTCATAAGCAAAATTACACATAAAGTCTCTACTATCAATTATAATTTTAAATCTCTTAGTTCTACACCTAGGAATGAAACTTGTATTATCGAAGCAACCTTAGTAGATCTAATGTCATGACCCCTAAGATTCTTTGCTTCAGATACTATAGACAAATTCCCTCGTGAATGGATTTTGTAAGATGTTATTAAATTTGATAAGATAGAAGCCAAATCTATTAGAGATGTTATTAAAGATCTTGACGGATCTGTCAAAATAAGAATAAATAGAAGTCAATCTTTTCGTTATCATAAATCTAACAGAATAGGATCAACTTCCAGTGCTAGAAACTCGGTAGATTCTACCATTAGAGTAGACCTTGCTGGAGTGAATTTCACTCCTCCAGTTCCCCAATCTTTTTACCATGAAAGAATTTCTAGATCTTCCTCTCCGACTAAACCACAGATTATAGGAGTCATTACAAAGGATGAAGAGTCATTGGTCATTGACAAAATCTGGATTAGAACAGATTTTGAGGATGATTACAATTTAGACATAAGAATATGGTACTTATTTATGTTCTCTAAATAACAAACTCAACAATGTTTGAAGTATTTTTTTTTATCATTTCTTAGAAAAACATGAAATTAATATTTACTTCTTTACCTGGTTTGAATTAGTTTGTCTAGAAGAAAAGATAAACATCCCTTTTGCTACTAAAATGTATTTAGATGCAAATATTAGGATTAATACAAAGTGGAAAATGATTAAAAAGGAAATCATATAATCCATTCATCCACCTTTAGAAGCTATAAAATTTATACCCCCTAAAGAAAATATAGAAATAGAGGTGTCTCCTTTTAAATCCATAATTAATCCATTAGAACACAAGAAAGATATTAATAATCTGCATAGTCAGATGAATTACTCTAACCAAATACTTCAAACTATGGCTCAACAACTTGATAGGATTGATAATTCTATACCTTATTCTAAATATAGTAAAGAATATAGATTAGACCCTGCCAGACCTATTTACCATTACCATACACCTTCTACACAAGAACTGAAGGGAATGAGCTTAGGTAATGATTCTATTCATAAGATAAATGAATTAGTAGAAAAGTTAAAAGCTTAAAATTTTGATAGAAAAGTCAATACCATCTCTAGAGAAGAAGAATTTGATAATCTGATTAATAAGTTAGGAGGAAATTTTCCAAAACCCAAGACGAGAAATTATACCCTAAGCCTTCTTTCGCTGATGTCCAGTTTGAAGAAAGGAGTAATTTTGTAAAAAATAGTTATTCATGAGATTCCATTGTAGAATGGAATGTTGATGGAGCTTCTGAGTATTAAGTCTTAGATATTATTAAGAATATGACTATGGCAGCCACTGGCTTTAAACTCAAAGGAAATTTTGATAGAAAAACTAAAGATATCCTTGTTATGGGCTTTACAGGCCAGTTAAAAGGTTGGTGGGGCGATCTTTTAAGTCTTGAGGATAAGACTCAAATTGATACCGCTGTTAAAGTTGACTCTAATGAAGTGGTATGTGTCACCACTCTTTTATATGCTATAACCAAGTTCTTTGAAGGTGAACTTCTTAAGTTCCAATCCAGAGTGGGCGACCAATTACTTAATCTTTACTGCCCTATTATGTCTGATTACTGGTGGTATAGATATATTTTTCTCTCCAACCTCTGCCTTAGATCTGATGGGTCGACAAACTATTGGAAAGAAAGATTCATTAGCAGGTTACCCAGATTATTTGCTGAAAAGGTTAAATCTAATATCAAACAAAATTTTAATGGAGATATTCCTTACCCTGCTTTAACCATGGGTGAGCTTTTCACAATTTTATAGAAACATGAATACACATTTGTACTGATTACAAAATCTAGAACAAGATTAAGAATGAGAAAATGAATAATAGACGCTAAATGGGTTCATTCTACAAACAATATGGAGTTACTCCTCTCAGAGCGCCCAATAACCCTAGATATAAAAAAAAACTACGGTTAGAAAGAAGAATATGTCCATTCAATACAAAAGAAAACTTTATAAAGAGATGGCAAAATCTTCTACTCCCCACAAGAAGAATTATGGCAAAAAAACCCTAAATCTTTTACTAAATCCAAAGGTAAAGATATTAAATGTTATAAATGCGGACGTTTCAGCCATTATGCTAATAAATTCAAAGTTAAAGAAAAATTTAATTAATTATAAAATCTTGATATTTTGCGTGAGTTAAAAGATAGTTCTTATATCTACGCTTAAAAACATCTTGAGGAGTTCAATTCGGACTCTGAAGAGGTTGAGAAGTTTGATTCGGACTCTGATGAATGTTTAGGAATCAATTTTTATAATTGCAATAGCTGTAAAACCATTAACGTATTAACTAATCATCAAGCTAACACTTTAATAGGAATATTATGTAGAATGCAAGAATATATGAAAGTAAAAATGCTTTCATGGGACAAATTAAAAACATTATTGGTAAAAATGATATCGATAATACAAATGTTAATACCATTGAATTTAAGAATGTTATGGAATGTTTAAAAAAACCCAATAATAAGACCATTATGTCTAATGACCTGCAAGAAGAAATTAAGATTTTAAAAAAAGAAATACAAAGATTAGAATCTCGGGATGATGAGTTAGAATTAAAATTTTTAGAAATACAAGGCCATATGATTATTCAAAACCAATCTTTGGTTAAGTCTGTTTTTAATGATGACCCAGAATCCAGTGAGGATCCTTATATTCATAAAATAGAAAAAAATATATCTCACAAATGGTATAGTACGGTTAAGCTCGTAATACAAGATGAAATATTTGAATTAGTTGTGTTGATAGATTCTAGGGCAGACTTAAACTGCATCCAAGAAGGTCTAATACCAACCAAATATTACCAAAAAAAACTAAACCATTACGAGGAGAAAACGATAACAGATTACACGTATCTTAAAAATTATCTAACGTTAAGATCTGTAAAGATCAAGTTTGTTACAAAACTTCTTTTAATTTAGTAAAAAAATATTCAAGAACCCCTTATTCTAGGAACTCCATTTTTAGCTCTCCTCTACCCTTTTGAGGTTGATAACCTAGCTATTACCACTAGTGGCCTAGGTCGCTAGATTAAGTTTGAATTTCTGGGACCATATAAAGTTAGGGATCTTAATTCTATTAAGAACAGAAATATTTATGTTGTTAACTTAATTCAAAATAAGAAGAAACAAATTAATTTTATAAACAAAGAAATTCATTTTAAAAGAATAGAAGAACAATTACCCGGTAAATATTCAAGAAAAAATTAACCTTATAAGAAATAGGTTTGTCAGAAATCGTTATGGAAAAGAAAAACCCATACCATAACTTTACCTTATGAACCTAAATTTAAAGAAAAAGACATCCCTACCAAAGCTAGACCAACTCAAATGAATAAATAACATTTCATTTTATTGTAAAAAAGAAATGATAAGGTCCAGCAAGTCCTCTTGGAGTTGCTCTGCCTTTTATGTTATTAACGCTGTTGAATTAGAACGAGAAAGCCCTCGCTTGGTTACTAACTATAAACCTCTTAATAATGTTTTACAATGGATTAGATATCTCATTCCTAATAATAAAAATACTTGATCAGTAGATTACAAATGGTTATTAACTATAAACCTCTTAATAATGTTAATAATGTTTTACCTTAAATCTGGGTATTATCAGATCCAATTACAAGAAGAAGATAAATATAAAATTGCCTTTGTAGTTTCTTTTGGACACTGTGAATGAAATGTGTTACCGCTTTGGCTTAAGAGTGCCCCCTCTAAATTCCAAAGCATTATGAATACTATCTTCAATAATTACTCCAACTTCACCATAGTTTATCTTGATTACATCCTAGTCTTTTCATACTCTATTAATCAACACCTTAATCACCTTAACAAATTTTATGAGCTGATTAAAAATAATGGTTTAGTATTATCTGAAAAGAAGCTAAATTTATTTCAAAGTAAGATTAGATTTTTGGGTTTTAACATTAGTCAGGGATGTACACCCCTATTAGTAGTTTCTTAGATTTTGTTAGCAAATTTCCATCTGAATTAAAAGATAAAACCCAATTACAAAGGTTCTTAGGATGTCTTAATTATGTCTCTAATTTTATCCCTAATCTTAAAACTATTTGTATACCTTTATCCAAAAGGCTTAAGAAAAAATTAAAACAGTTAGTTAAGAAATTACCTCGTCTAGGAATCCCAGATCATAGAGCCAATCTTATTGTTGAGACAGATGCCTCAGACCTAAGGTTTGATGGTATTCTTAAGCAGATACTTCTGGGCATGGGAAAAGAAAAGGTTGTCAGATATTATTCGGAAACTTGGACTACAATACTATTAAAAAGGAGATTTTATCTATTGTTTTATGTATTACCAAATTTTAAGATGATTTGTTTTCAAAATTATTTATGTTGAAAACAGATTGCAAAGCTGCTAAAAAGGTTTACCAAAAGTGTTTTACAAAAAGATATTAAAAATTTAGTTTCAAAACATATTTTCGCCAAATGACAATCTTTATTATCTTGTTTTGATTTTGAGATAGAACATATTGAAGGTATTAAAAACTTTTTACTAGATTTTATAACTAGAGAATTTTTACTAAAAAAAATGAACAAATTACCGAGTGACTCGCGAGACGATTATGACCCTCATTATCTCAAAATAAAGCTTTAGTATTAGGATCCCCCTCATTCATTATAAAAATTACCACTCCTCCAAAACCTCAAATTAAACCTGCTTTAGTACCCCCCTTAGCCTTCACTCAAAAAATTACGACCCCTTCATCTTCCCAAGCTAAACCAAACTCTAAATTAGCATTTTACACTCCTTCCTCAGTAAAAACCTTATTTATTATCAAAATGAGTTTTTTCTAGTTGCACCGATTTCTCTTCTCTTACTCACCATTATGACGAATCAGACAAATCAAAAAATAAATTCTTAAAATTTAAAATAATTAAAGTTTGGTCTCCATCTGACTAGGGTCAACCACCAGTTGAAAGCCGTTCTTTTAGCAGAGTATACTCTCCTCAGAAGTTCAATTATTTTGATTACATGGATGCTTAGACCAAATTCTTAGCTATTGAACCCTTTAATCATACATGGTTTATTTGGTTCAATAATGACATCTCATTGAATTTTCTTTATTGGTTCATACAGTGGTTTCATCTGGTTAGACCAACATTAGACATTTTTCTTGATTATGTTGCTAATACATTCCATGAGTTTACCTCAACCACTACTTGCCCAGCGTACAAAGTGTTGTTATCTTTTTGTGATGTGTTTGTAATTACTTGGATTAGTTCTTGGACATTATCAACCGAATTATTTTGAAAAGACGGTCCTGCCACGCAGTTAATTAAAAAATATTCGATTAAGTGGTGGGTTAAGTTTAACCCCGAATTATCGTCATCAGTAAAAATTAGAAGCTTGGTGTTGAGCACGTCTAAATCTCTTCAAAAGTACAAATATAAGTTGGTAAGAAACTTCTTTCCGTGACAGATCGTTCTAAGTTACTAACAACCTTATCAACTGCGACAGGTCTAAATGAGTTGTTATTTAAATTAAAGGACCTGACACTATATATATATATATATATATATATATATATATATATATATATATATATATATATATATATATATATATATATATATATATATATATATATATATATATATATATATATATATATATATATATATATATTCCAAGAATACTTTTTTTAACTTATTCTAAATCATAGCTTCATATAAATATAGGGACCCACTCAAATGATTCCTAAACTAATCATCAAACAATAATTAAATTTCTAGTAAAATAAAATACTCAAGTATCTTCAATTATACATTACACTTCTATAATTCTAAAATATTAAAAAAATTCAAATTAATTATTAAAAAAAAGTCTTATTGATTATTGGGTTTTATCCTAGCAGAAGCATATTTGAATTGGTTTTGTTCTAAACTGAGTTGGGCCATAATATCTAGAGGTCCACTCTTAATCTAAACCCTAAGAAAATTAGTGACAGACTTATTCTAAATAAGCTGATGCACCAATACATATTATCTTCACTTATGTTTTTTAAACTCTCAAATTTCTTCGTGATTTGTCTATAAATCAAACTCCAATTGATTCTCAAATTAACTATTTAAATTAACCAAATAATAAATACCTAATAACATAATTTTTATTTTTTTGTTTCAATATTTATAAAACAAAAGAGTTTTATTTATGAGTTTTTATTTTATTAATTTACTAGACGTTTGCTCGCGCGATGCACGGGATAATTGTGTAAAATTTGGTGAGACATATAATTATTATTATAATTTAAATAAACAAATTAAAAGTTGTCATATGACATAATGTTTCAAACTCCAATCTTATAATGTCTAAAAATTCCACATTATTATAAAAATTACATTACAATCACTATATTCACATTGTATTATAGTATAATAAATGTAAATTTTTTTAATATTTTACTTATTCTCTGTCATCAAATTTTAGATTTCTTCAAAATCGAACAAATAAAGTTAAAAGTCTATAAATGAATGTACCATAATATTTGAAGACATATATACCAAATTATATTTAAAATGTAAAATAATATTGTTGCACCTTAAACTTCAAAAATGCCCAAATTCTAAGCTCATGTGATGTAATGTTTATTATGCCCTTTTATCAAGTGGTAACAAATTCTATTACTGTAGATTAAAATGAGGATATTTTATCTTTTATCTTTAAAATATATCTACAATATAATAGACTAAAATATTATAATGGGAAGGCGAGGACGACTACCGAAGGTGGTGT